ATCCTGCAGAGGCCCTACGTTACCCGGTACCTTCTTTTTACCCCCTATGTATTTAAAAAAGGACTTCTTGTCGTCCTTGATCCGGGTCCCTTGTTGCAGGCCACTGACACCTTGCGCTGGATAGTGAATCCCAGCAGGCGATGATCACTATCGCCCAGGTGGTCGAGCACCCACAGACCCCTCACTAGGTCGTCGCCCGTGGCCAGGACCAGGTCCAGCAGGGCATTTCCCCTGGTGGGACTGTGCACCTCCTGGGTCAGGTGGAGGTCCTGTATCTCAGCTAGGAACCTACGTGAGTGGTCAGACCTGGCTGACTGCTCTTCCAGCAGATGTCCGGGTAGTTTAGGTCACCCACGATGACCACATCCATCGACTTTACTGCCGCCACGAGCTGACCTGAGAATTCCCGGTCCAGGTCTTCCCCCTGGTTGGGTGGTCTGTAGTAGACCCCCACCATTAAGTCCCTTTCCCCTGACCCCCTTGTATACAGACCCAGAGCACTTCAGTCTGCCCCTCTTCTGACCCTGTCTTGTCTGTTGAGGACGTGTATTGCTCTTTGACATAGAGCGCCACACCTGCACCTTTCCTCCCCCTTCTATCCTTCCTGTACAGCCGATAGCCCCGATGTTCACTGCCTAGCCATGCGTTGGATCCCACCAAGTTTCAGTGAGCCCCACTATGTCCAGGTTTGTGTTAGCTAGCAGGAGGCTAAGTTCCTCCTGCTTGTTCCCCATACTACGAGCATTAGTGTAGAGGCATTTAAGGCCTCCTGAAGGTGCATGCACTGCACCCCTAATCCCAGGACTATCTGGGCCCCTGTTTCCTACCTGGGTACCTGGCTGTTCTTGTGGGTGGCTCTTTGTTTGGTGTTCTGTGGCTCCCTCCATCCTCATCATCTTCCCCTTCCCCCGACGAGCCTAGTTTAAAGCCCGCCTAGTTTAAAGTCAATGTTGCGGAAAGTCAAGCCCAAGATGTAACTTCAGCTTCAGGTAGCAGCTTTAGGGCCAAATGCTGCTGCAGGTGCCCAGCACTCAGACACTATCCCAGTGGGTGAGTGGGCCTGGCTAAAATACAGGCAATCCCTTACGTGGAGGATGATCTTTACCATGGATCATTAATTGGTCTTGAGATGACTTAAGAGTCTAAAGGGGCTTGAAATACAATATCCCTGAGCAACCTGAAAGCTGCCAATAAAAGCCTCTGCAGGCTGAACCTACTAGCAATACTTATTTTCCAGGGGAAGCTCAAGTTAGTTTTGACTGGCAACACCAGTTCAGCTGGTACTTCCTACCTTTGATAAAAATAAAGAAATAAATACCAGATGTAAACATCAGCAAAACATGTTCAATGGTTTTTAATACCATTTCTCAAGGTTCAGAATAGGCTTGTTGCATTCTCCCCCCTCCCCCCAAAACTCTTCCTAAATTTTTTCCATCAGTTCTTTTTATTGTGATCAAAACTTATTAAAAGACTTCAGTGTAGGAATTCTGGTTGTGGTAGGCCATAGTTATGCTATGCTATAATAAGCTTGTTACAGGCCAGCTGGGTACTGTGAGTATATCACTTCAGTTGCAGACTGATTGAGCACTGCAACTTTATCAGCCACTGGGCTTTTTGGCTCGGGATCAAGGAGGTGATGTTGGGAAGGAAAGCACTGACAAGTTTCACTTATAAAAAAAGAATAAATTTTACTTATAACAACAAAAGATATAGTTTGCACATATGACAATTAGTAAAAAGGTTATGCTAATAAACAGACAACATAATAATACAAATTAACATTGACAGTGATAATAAAACAGATAAAGGAATTAACTTTTGGTTATCTCTCAGCCACTTTTTGGCTGTTCCACTGCCGGCTTGCGGGGCCAGCCTTGACTAAAGGCTTGCTGCATGGGGCTTCCTCCAGTGCGGGGCCAATTGTTGGCCCAGTTGACTGAGCGATCCAGGTGCAGGTCCCAGTCTTTGAGGGCTGAACCAGCGGCCATTCGCAGGTTGCACTTTAAGATACCGTTGGCTCATTCTGCTAGTCTATTAGATTACGGGTGATAGGGAACGTGATAGGTTTACAGCACTTGATGTTTTGCACCTCACTCATAGACCAGATGGTTGTGAAAATGTGAACTATTGTCACTTTGCAGCTCTACAGGAGGTGGGTAAATGGCTAGCAGGTTTTCCAGTGCCTTGGCAGAGGCCCGGGCAAACATCATTCCGGTGACTACTTCTACTGCTACAAATGCATACTGTCATTTTCTGGGGGTGCGGGGAAGTGGGCTTATAAAGTCACACCGCCAAACTTCCCATATTACTTTCCCACTGTGTAATGACAAAGGGGTAGTTGAGGCAGGCGTTAGTTGGGCCTTGACTTCCTGGCAGGTGATGCAGGAGTTGACTACTTCCTGTGCTTCCCTTTTAGTTAGGTGAATGCCCCAGGTGGCTGCTAGGCGAGCAGTGCCATCGTGGCCAGGGTGCTCAGGCTGCCGATGCAGCCATTCTGCGGCTAGCACTCCAGGGGTCTGCTGGAGGGAGGGGCTGGGTGCCTTCTCTGGGGGTGGCTGAGCTTCTGCT